GACTGAGCTCTGAATCCCTCTGTGTGATAAAAGCCATTTTTGTGAAAATAGACATCAGGTTAAAATGGCTTAAAGCCAGACAGACTCCTGCTTTCTTCCTCCTTTCTTTTCCTCCTCCACTCATGGTCTCCAGGCCTGCGCTCCCTCGCACATCTGTCGGCACGTATCCGCCGCTCAATCGCTCTCGCCGGGCCACAGCGGGTTCCCTAACAGCTCAGTATGGCTCTTCCATTAATCAAAGACACTTCCAGTGTCCCATTACAGAAACACTGCTGCTCGGCCTGTCTGAAGCTGACAGCTCGCCAATTCATCTTGGAGGAGGAGAGGGAAAAAAAGCCATTGTGGCACGCCATTCGCCTTTACCTGTTCAAACGGCGGGCTGTTAAGAGCACAGGAAGACCCCTCTGAAATTGTTTTCTCTAGGTCAGGCAAACAACAAAAAAGGTAAATTGCTTGTCTCAGGTAACAGGCGGGAGGAGTCTGCTGGTGGCAGTGGTGCTTATAGACGAGGGAAATAGGGTCTGACTAGAGGAGTGGGTCAGTGGTTCGAGAAGAGAAAAAAAAAAGGAAAAAGGATAGAGATGTGTTTGTTAAGTTAGTGATTTTAATGATGCTACAGGGGGTGAAATGCAGCCATGCGCTTTAGCCAAACAGCCCTAAACACTGTCCTGACACCAGAGAAGAACCTCTGCAGAGGCCCGAGGACACTAAGTACATCTTTTTATACCTCCCCTGCTGCCCGGAGATGGCAGCTCAGAGCATTTACTGCTCGTGAGGCAGTAGAGGTAAAAAAGGAGCACTGTACAGTACACACACAAAAAACAAAGACAGCTAAAATTTAGTGTTAAAAAAAAATAGATTTTACTCCAGACGTCTGTAAATTTCAATGAAAATTGCAATAAAATCCTGTATCAAATTTTATACAATCAAACGCTACAACTGTGAGCTCATCTTGGAGTTGCACAGAATCGAAGCTCAACAGGTTAGCTGATATGTAGCTAAGAAAAATTACGGCGATGAAAAAAAGAAAAGCTACTTTCTTCCACCACAGAGTGGGTAATTAGAAAAAAACTTTGGTAAGAATGAACTAATGTTTGATCCCAGTGGCTTCAAAAGTACACAGTTTGTGTTATCTTCTACCAGTTTCACCAAAAGAACAAAGAATATATATATAAAAAAATAATTGAGACTTGAAAAAGGTTAGCTTCAAAAAGTTAGCCAACTTTGTCCTTAGTTAAAGGCACTAACCTGCAAAACAAAAAACACACAAAAGACAAACCTGAACCAAAAAATGGCAACTGGGTTAAAGTAAGTTTCACCAAAAGAACAAAGAATATAAAAAAAAAATCGTACCGTACAGGTAATCCTAATCCAGCGATACCTAGAGGTTAGCCAACATCTGCAGAGAAGCTAGACTGAAAACAGCTTGAGCTGCTGTGTGCACCTGTCTGTGTATGTTACATGTTTCAGTCTGATGTTGTGGCTTCAGACAGAGTTTTGTGGGTCAGTTGCGTAATGACTCCACAGCGCTGCCAACACTCTAACCTCCACCGACTGGAGTTTTCTCAGTCCTGATTATTTTCCTCCCCGTCTTCACTTTAATCCTTGTTATTATTTTTAAAGTAGTTCTCTGGCAGCCGCACTGTAAATACTTTACCATCTGCAGTTTAGAGGAAAAAAATAATTTAAAAAAAAAGAACACACACACACATACAAAATGATCTGTGAAAACTGCAGCTGCAGCTCAGGGTGTGTGTATGTGTTTGGGTGTGTGTGACAGTGTGGCTCAGAAACTGGCAGCTGTTGGCAAAGCCAACATTTTTAGCTTCTTGGAAGTAAAGTAGGAGTCGGAGGAGGAGAAGGAAGAGTGGTGAGTGGCTCATTACCAAACCAAAGCTCAATCTGGAAAAAAAAGAAGAGAAAAAGGAGGGCAGTCTGTGGCCTGGTAGTTAGAGGATAGGCCTTGTGATCGGAGGGTTGCTGGTTTGAATCCCAGCCCTGGTAGGTCAGTGGTATGCAAAGCCAACACCAGAAAGATCTCTGTTCCCGTTGCATTGCAAAGTGCACACAGTGATATTTGTTATGTCTGATGCACAACATCAACTCAGAAATGCTGATAACCCATAGGTACCTTGTTGTTAGCTTGGCTCAAAGTGCGACAGGTAAGCTTAAAAATAACAGGTTTCTGCAATCTTGTCTAAAAAAAAAATGCAAAAACCTCAGGCAAGAAAGACAAAGGAAAACCTCAGACCAGAAGAAAACCTTAGGTCGTGTCTCCAAATGCTGCTCATTTATTAATTAGCACGAACCACTTTCCAACAGAATCATATCTAATAAATGAGCAAATCTTTAGCAATGACAGTTGAAGGTTGAGTTAAAGCTTTACGAGTGGGGGCCATTCGATGACCACAAACCACACGTTTGACTCCAGTGATTCTCATTAAGACAGTGACCATGAAAAGAGGCTGAAGCTG